TTGCCCCCTTCATGTGTTTGAGCCATGATACCGTCTCATGATCCGATGCTGCATGGAAACCGGGACACGTCAGTTCGGCATGTGCATCAGCGAAACCCAGAAAGGGTAAGTGTGAGCTTATATGAGATCTCATGGGATTGTAAGCATTAAGTCTGTTGGATTATGTAGCTGACTTTTATATTATGATATATGAAGGTTTGTGGACTACGGCTGCATGCTCCAGATCCGCAGCGTGCATTTCCTCCCAGATGGACGCTCTGTCGTGGATACAATCGGAGGAAAGAGGTTTCGCGTCCTCTCACGTGGAATGAGAGACGGATACTGTATCGCCAACATCGAGTATCTGGAGGATATGAAAGTACGCACTTCTCATGAAATTTTAGATTACTGTAATGTAGAGGAATGCAGGAAAAATAATGTCTTATAATGTCTGTGTTATTGTTGAGCATTCAGGGCTCAACAATAATTACAAAATAAATAAGGTAAATTATATTTTATTTAAATTTATTACAATTTTAGCACCATAGTCTTCTAAGTATGAACATTTTTGCAGTTGTAGTTGTAGACTTTTTAAACATTTTTGCTAAGTAGTGATTAAAATTTTGCATCCTTTTGCATGGAATGAAAGGCAGATACTGTACTGCAAACATCGAGTGTCTGGAGGATATGAAAGCTTTTTAGATTACTGTAATGTAGAGGAATGCAGGAAAATATCTGTCTATGTATAATTATGATAGTTTCCAGGGCTCAACAATAAGGATTTGATTAAAAATAAGGTAATTTTATTATTTTTATTATTTTAATTATTTCAATTTTAGCACCATAGTCACTTGGAAACCATATATCCTTCTATGGTTTATGTTGACCAGAAGTTAAATTAAGCTTAAAGATACAGTATTAAAAAAAATTGTGCATTGTAGGTCAATGATGAGGAGGATTTGGAGAAGCGTTATTTAAATTTTAGCACCATAGTCACTTGGAAACCATATGTCCTTCTATGGTTTATGTTGACCAGAAGTTAAATTAAGCTTAAAGATACAGTATTAAAAAAAATAGTGCATTGTAGGTCAATGATGAGGAGGATTTGGAGAAGCTACAAGTGTTACATGATCAGGTGTACGATCAGGCCCGTAAATGGTTCCAGAACCTGGAGAACCGCTTCCGGAACCAGATCCTGCAGCATTTTGGGCCAATGCCTATGAGGTAGGCTGACATCCAGGTATTTCCCGCTCTCTTAATCCCTACTACTGAGAGAAGCCCTGTCTCCCTTCTTTCTTTGCCCTACAGCAGGCTGCACAGTAGGAAGTAGGTCAAGGTGCATTCAGGGTTGGGTTTGCATAAGTGCTGTTACATCATAAATGTGTCAGAAAGAACGGAAGTTAATCTGGCAGCTCTCGCAAACACGCACACACTGTCTGGTAAACATATTAGCGTGTTGTCCCGAATAGGGATGGCATACTTTGAATAATAATGGAGGGAGGTTGTGTAACCTTCATGAACATAGCCGGCCGGGCCTTATATGGTCAATTTGAAGAGCCTGTCCTGTGATTTCTGAGTACAAATAGGATTTATACAGATGTTCAAGCTAGTTTCATCGGCATTTAGTTTAGCTCATCGTTTCTATTTTACAAAAAGAAAGCATGATATAAAAGGGGTCATATCATGAGGAATCAAAATTTCCTTGATCTTTTCAGATTAAAGAAAGTTTGATGTTCTATGTAAGTCAGAACTTCCTCTTGATAGAAAAAGAGCTGTAAAACGTCACATCAGTGGTGTTCAGAAACTTGATCTGCCTGGTCGTGGTGAGGTAAAAAAGTTAAAGCAGGACTGAATAATACCAATACCAATTCTAGCCAATATCAATGAGCCGATCATTATTTTTATAAAATTATTAGTTTTTTGTTAGGTTATGGCTGATAACCGAAAAGCAGATATTAAAATTAAATAATATTTTGTCAAAATAAATTAAAAATAAAAAAATAAAATCAGTCGTTTTAAATCCTAGGCATCACAACATTTTAATGTACAATATAAAAATTGAAATTAATTTTGAGATTAGCTAAACATTACATTTAATTATGTTGTTTAAAGAACTGTTTTAAGAAAATTACCTTAAAGTGAGTATTAGATGCAGCGTTTCTATTATTAACTAAAACTAAAAGAAACTATTTAAAAATTGTTTTAATTTAAGTAAAATAAGGCTGAAATAAAATACAATATAAATATTAGATGATTAAAAACTTAAAACATAAAAAATATTTAACAAAAATTACAAAAGTTGCCTTGGCAACTAACCGAAATAAAATAAGTTTAAGTTGACATACTAAAATTACTAAAATAAAATAAATTAAAGCTAAGTAGAAATATAAAAAAACATAATAAAAAAGACAAAAGCACATGTAATTACTAAAACTTAAACTAAAATTCAAATAAAGCTGAAAAATAAAAGCTAATTTGAAATAATTATAAAAACCATAATAGTATAGAAATAATACTAAAATAACACATGATGGCAAAGGTAATCTAAGTGTAAAACAGGAAATGAGCATACACAATGAAATATCCAACATCGGCTGATATATTTCCAATATTAACAGATAAAAATCTCTTATATCAGCCGAGAACCGATAAGGTACAGATATGATGTATATCTCTAGGATATGACTCCTTAAATGTACTTTTATTAGTACATTAGCTTAATCTTAAGACACTAACCCTTTCTTTATTTCTTTGTTTTCAAGGCCACACCTAATGGTCCAACGTGCTGTTGGTGGCTGCTAGCTGTTCTTCCTGTCGATCCACGTTACCAGCTGTCTATCCTTTCCATGACAACACTAAAAGAACGTCTAGTCAAGATCCAGCACATCCTCACCTACCTGCAGAACCTTTCCAGCAACTAGAGCTTCCACACAAACACACACAGAACTCTATTTCCACCAGCTAATGTCTGTGTCCTTCTGCTGGCCAACATGCAAAAACTCTATGGTGCTGAATGAAGAAGAACTAATGAGAATTTAGGGAGACTCCACTGAAAGCCTGACACAGATTTCTACCTGTGGGGTTAGATGTAATTCATGCCGAGAGTTCTAAGAACAAAGTGTTTTTCGTTGTTTCGTACCAATCTGTTCATCAACATCTGACTTTTCTTTGTGCAGATCCCTGTAGTATTTATTGTTGAACCCGTTCTCATTTAGGAGAAACAATCTACTTAAAATCTCATTTCTGTTTAATGCCTGTAGCCTCCATACAGTGCTTTGAGGGTTGAAAATTCCAACATTTTCAACATGATCACACCATGCTGTGTGTGTGTGTGCGTGTGTGCGTGTGTGGGTGTGTGGGTGTGTGTGTGTGTGTGTGTGTGTGTGTGTGTGTGTGTGTGTTGAAGTAGACAGGGAGCATCTGCAAAAACAAAATCTTCAAGGTACATTTTTAGGCACCAAGGCAGAAGGCAAGACTATTTGAAATATATTTTCTTCTTCACTTAATACTCTGGAAAAAAAAAAGCAGAAATATTACTTCCGAGCATCCAGCCGAGCTTTCGCACAAGAAGTCGTTGTCGCACAACAGCTGAGTTGCCTAAGACAGAGAAAACTCTTGACGATGCACTTGTATTCATTTGGGTTGCTTTTGCAGTAATGGACATCAATGAAGCTAACACTGTCCCATCCTGTCTCAAGCTTTCAGCTCAGAGATGGGCATGAGACTGTTTAGCATAGATTTATTTCTGCTGAGGAAATAATTAGGACTTCCAGATATCTGGATAGTTTAGTTTCAGACGTATCATTCATTTGCTGTGGGTTTGCTTTGGTCAATCAAAAACAGCATAAACAACATGTCTCCATATTGCAAGTGTCTCTGTTAGTTACAAGCTGCTCTTTGTCAAGTTCTTTAGAAGTCATTTTAAGATATTGATATATTTTATTTGTGTAAACAAAGGGAAACTTGCAATATTTTGACAGATGTAGACAAGTGAAAAACAAACTATGGTTGGCTGCAACCAGCACCATACTGAAAGGAGACCCAGCAAGCATTCTACATATTGACAGTGATGAATGCTAACTCACCTGTGTGGTGCATGTTGTGTGCAGACTAACTTTTGCCTTATAATACCTTGTTGCATTCTGCTCCTATGGTATAATGTATCGGCTTGGGTTTTTGCATTCCTGTTGATGGAGAAATAATTCTGTGGTTTAATTTAATTAATTCGCCTCTTGGCCAAAATCCTTTCAGTGTGAAAAATATGTCAGATATTTTGTTGTATGTAAATCATTTTGTTTTGAAAAATATTTTTTTTATAGCTCTGCTCAAACATTTAAGTTGTCAATTTTCAAATAAAATGCACATCTTTTTCATTGTATGTGTTTATTGTATTATTATTATTATTATCATCATCATAATCTATCTGTCCATACAAAAAATGTTTATACATTTCCAAAACAATTGTCTTATGTTGGGTTGCAGGATGATGGAGCCTACTTTATTTATTTATTATTAATTTTATTATTATTATTATTCATTTTCTTCTTTTTACTGACAATAATTACAAACTATTACATAAACAATTTGACCTATGTATGGTCACAGGGATGCTGGAGCCTAATTTTTTTATTATTTATTATTATTACTATTAGATAATAATTAACAAATGACATTTTTATTATTATTTCAAAATAATTAAACATTTATTATGATTATTATTATTTTCGTTATCTATATCCTCCACTAGATAGCAGCAGCGTGTTTCATAACTCGCAGACTTCTTGTCCTGTTCTTACTACTTATTAGATAATCCACCACCCTGCATCGAACAACCAGAATATTCTCACAGAGTTTCAGACCTTTATTGAATACAAATATACTCTTTACATTTCTACATACATATCCGCAGTATGCACAACGTATTAACAACTTGACTGACGGGTTTGATGATCCGTGATTTAAAAACATCAAACATCCAGCTATCGGAGAGACAGCATCATGACAAACTCTGAAAGAAAACAACGGCAAAACTGTTAGTTGATGTAAGTTTAATTGTCGTTATTTAGTCGACTAGTTTACTTCGACTACACCTGTTCTCGTGAACGCGAAGGTGTGTGAGGCTTTTCCCTGAAATGTCACTTGAGGGCTTCCGTACGAATCAACGGATACCACTTGACGGTGTTCGCGTGAAATTTGTTGTGAAAAGCTTGTTTCAGAAGTTCACACATATGTAACCAATTCTTGCACATTTAGCTTGTTTTCTCGAGCTCTAAATGGCTCCCCTGAACTACAGTTAGTTAATATGCGGAAAATAATAGAGATTAAAGATGAAATTGGCGGGAATTGTCACCTGAGTGAGGTAAGCAGACGCTTACAGTTTGTTGTTGTGTTATTAACATGTTCCTTCATTTATATATAATTTTAATTAAAAATCAAGAAAACATAAAGGTTGCTAGGGGTGTCTGTTACTCCACTGTTGGGGTGAATGTCCCCTGTAGGAGTGGTATATACACTTTATTGTTTGGTTGTTTGTTGTTTTGGGGCACTAACTATGGTAAATATCTAAATAACTAACCTTGCAACTGTGGTTACATACATAGTACTTTTTGTAAGGGTTTTTGTGTATTTGAAAAGGAAAGGGGTTAGGGATGGAGTGATGTTACAGACAATATTCAAAAAGGAATTGCAAATTGTATTCAACATATTTGTGGACACATATGTTGTGACATAATCCAATTGCAAATCATGCATTTGTGTTTCCATTTTCTTTTCCATGTAACATGTCTGCCCAATTTTGAATGGAAATGCAAAGTCCATTTGCAATTGCATTTCCAATGTCTTGTAATAGCAATAGATTATCACCCATTTGCTATTTCACTTCCTCCGCATCCTGAACTTTTGCCTATTTGGTGATTAGATTAACTGTTCCCTCTTGAGTCGGTCTCTCAACATTGCATCATCGAAGATGTCGCTTTGGGGTTATCTCCTCCTTCCTCGAATCTACTGAAACCTTATGAAATCTCGCGGGTGATTTTCATATGGAATGGCATTCAAACACGCAAATTAGAGGTGGCCTTCCCCGCACTATAAGGCGGCGCTGAACGCCATTGCCTCAGAATTTTCTCCTTCAGCTACAAGCTCGCCGTTGAGGTACGCTCATCCGGGGGGCGGTGCCTGGATTGCCGCTCCCCTGCAGCGTTCCAGTGAGTATGACATTACTTTCAGATGCCTTCTGGACCGCGATGGTTCTGCCTGGGCAATTCCCACTCAGAAGCAGCACTGCGCGAGTCTGTCTGCCGTCAAAAACAGCGTTGGACCTTATGGACTTCAGTGATGAGCCCATGCGGACTAAGCATCCGCATTCCTCATACCTAACCCTTCAGGAAGCTCGGCTTCTCATGCTCTCCCCTGCCACACGACATAAGCAGTCCTCTGTCTCAAAGCAGCAGTATGCCTTGTTCAGACTCAGGGCATGGAAATGCTCCAGTCACCCTCTCTTCATGCGATTTAGGCCATGTCCCCACGTACACGGGTATTTTTATAAACGTTTTTCCTTCTTCCGTTTTTAAAAAATCTCCGTCCACATGCAAACGCATTCTATGAAGCACTGTCAAGAGCATGCCAAACCAACAGGTGGCGATATAATCTCAACCGTAAAGCCACGTTGGCCAATCAGAAGCCTGAAAACGTTTCCAGTAGGCGGAGATAACAGCGCAGGCTCCGACGTCACAAGCCAAAAACTCTGGTTTCGCTGTCTACATGATAACACTGCAACCGGAGTTTTTGAAAATCTCCACCCTGGCAGGAGTTTTCAAAAATGTTCGGTTTCAGTGACCTGGTGCTGTGTTTGCGTGTGGATGAACGGCCAAACCGCGTAGAAAAAGCTGTGGTTTTAAAAATAATCGCGTTCGTGTGGACAGGGCCTTACCATGCACAAATCTCAGTGCTGTGACCTGCTGTGCACAGAGGAGGAAGCGCTACGATCTCTCACTCACTCAAGCGGTAAGCAGTAGGGCTGAGACAATAAATCAATGCATCGCGAATCGAGAAATGATTCCGCATCGATTCTGAGATTTTCCGAAGGCATCGCGATTCTCTCTTGAATCGATTCTGAGCTTAGTTTTTAACAGCAGATGGCACTGCGTACTTTAGAAATAGCCGTATTCTGCTTGCTTCCAGTTCCTATACACATGCACCATTTGAACCTAAAATAATCATTCATAAAGTTCGAAAAGGTTGAAGCGAATTACAAGGATGTTCACAGTGGGCTGTGTTTACATTAATCTCACATCATAAAAGCAGATGTGCAAGTACATTTAACCACTTACATTACTCAGCCGAACGCACAAGCGCTCTTCTTCGTGAGCATTTGCATGTGCGGTTAAAAACTAGCCTAGAGCGCCATCTGCTGTTAAAAACTAAGCTCCGAATCGATTTGAGAGAGAATCACGATGCATTCCGAAAATATCAGAATCGATCCACGAATTGCGATGCATCGATTTATTGTCCCAGCCCTAGTAAGCAGCCCCCTGCCTCAGAATGGCGGTCTGCCTTCCATAAAGCATTGAGCTTTGGCCGCTCGCTTACTCTCATCATATGCACCTCAGAGCGGTGATCGGTCATGTATAGAGTGCAGAGCATTCCAGCCACTCGTTCGCTCATGCAATTTAAGCAGCTCCCCATCTCAAAGCGGCGGTCTGTCCTATATAAAATGCTCTGGCCACTCGCTTCCATTACCTTCTGTGTTGAACACCGGCTTTGCTGCTGTTTTCTCATATGGGTGTGAAGTATTGCTTACACTATCCATAATGCATGCTGGTGTGACTGCCGTTCATCGCCTCCTGTGATAAGCACCAGCGCAGCTGTTGTTTATGTGGGTGTGTAGTGCTGCGTACGTTAGCTACTGTGCACACTGCCGCTGTTCATCGCTTTCTATATAAGCACTGGCTGTGCTGCTGCTTTTGTGAGGAGGTGTGTTACGTATGCTACTGCTGCTTATGCTGGTGCTGCGCTATTCTTTGCCTTTCTATGTTAAACACCGGCTGGCCGTTGTTTTTCATAAAGGGAGTGCAGTGTCGCTTACACTAGTCACTGTACACTCTAGCACTGACACCGGCCATCATATGATGATGCACCAGGTATACCACTGTTTTCAACACTATGTCTCTCTACACTCGCTTTACGCAACTGTTATCTAGCCCTCGCTCTACGCGACTGTTATCTAGCAATGAATCCAGAGAACGATTGTGGCCGAAACGTGGTCTTTTGTAATCAAAAACTAGTTGCCCTTGAGCAATGACTGTTCTGTTGTGTGGCGTGACAGCTGTAAGACAGAATACAGAAAGTTCTTCTGTATTGGAAGAAAAGTGTCTAGTTCCCTCCTCTCAGGGAAACAAGGTTACGTTAGGTAACCGGAGACGTTTTGAACTGCCGTCTTTTCTCTGGTAAGATAAAGTTCCAAATAAAAGCATAAAGTGCTTCTGTCCATGTCATTGTACAGAGCCATGACATGCTCTTCCGGGGACTCCAGAGAGTGCATTATCAGAACGCCCCCCTGGACTGCTCACGCTGAAACAGATCCTCTCGCAGGCTGGCCAGAGGACTGTTATTTCATTCTATCTGGAGAATGCCTGCCTCTATGTTCAGAGCATCACAAGTGTTGTCTGATGTTGCTTCATAGAGTCAACTGCTCGATAGAGATTCGTCTCCACTCCATGAGGAGTCTGGCGTCATCTCGGACTTGAACTAAGGCATGTCTGTTCAGGATATTTGGTTTGCGGCAAGGTGGTCCTCGCGAAATGCTTTCACTAGGTTTTATGACCTGAAAATTCCCCTTTTTCGCACCGCATGTTCGGTCTATGCAGGGGAAGACGGCTGAGCAACCATTGGATGACTGAGAGATTTTGTGGCCACGCTCCTCTCTTGCGTGTGTTTCAACTAGGTTGTATATGCTGATGTGCAGTGCCATTGCTCGCACTAATAGCTACTGCATATGCAAAACTGATGCATTCATGACACAGCTTTCTGTGTTCTATTATTTCGGTAGTATTCAGGCGCTACAGCTGTAGCTATCTGCTCTGTTTCTGTGCTTATGAACTTGGTTCTTCCCGCAGATTTATGCTGGACACTGTGAATATATGTCAATCGTAAGAGCTGGTCTAATGTTGTATGTACCAATACGCTTGTTGCTTATTATTACCATACTCTGCATTTCATTAGTCCAGCGTTGCTCGAATGTGTACATTCATGAAATGTTTGAAAGCGGCTCTCTCCCCTCTAAATGAGTAGAGCTCACGCACTGGATTATGACTGATCATAGTCCATTCAGGGAGTGTATTAAACCGTCATAGACTTCTGCTTTTCAACCACCCAGAGAGTGCAACTGGGCTTTGTTGTGATGCGAGCTCGCATTTCACAGGGGTGCTCACAGTTTTTAACTCATACTTCCATTCATTACGAGCTGAGAAGTTTCTGCCTTTAAGAGTTCCTAGGAAGCACTCAGGCTGCGGCTTTGGCAGAGTGCTTTGCTCTCACTCATAAGGCAAAAATAGCGAGACTGTCAGCTCTCTTATGTCTGTTCTCATGTCCCCCGCTCGTTGCGGGCGACAGGAACTGTAATGGCCTTTGTGTCCGGATCGTTCTGCTATGCAGTGCATTAAATCATAATACAGTGGGGCAAAAAAGTATTTAGTCAGCCACCAATTGTGCAAGTTCTCCCATTGAAACGTGCATTCAAGTGAGTGCATTGAGATAGACCCTTGCAAAGGTTTGGCCAGGAGACTGGATTATATCAGTGGGCCTGAATATATCTATTTTATAGTCATATAGCCCATTAGTCGCCTTGAGTTTTTGAAAGAGTACTTGGACAGCGACTGTATGCCCTCCTTGTTTTAAGCTTGTTATACCACTATAACGGCATGACGCCATCATATTTATAGTCGCCCAGCAGAATGCCCTGTCAATAAGAATTTCAAGTGGCACAAGAAGGCTGATCACCTCTCGCCCTTTTACATGATCAACTCGTGCTGGGCACTCTGGTCAGTTCTGTGAGTTGAATATTTCCTCACTCGCATTGCGAGTTTACCTTTGCAAGAGGGTTATGTCTACAACTTGAACTGAGATTGTGGGTGGTGTCAAATAGGTCATGTGGACTATTATGGCAGTGGTTGACACCCCTGCTAAGTGGTGTTCAACTAGGTCTTTTAGCCATTCACAGTCTGTTGTTACAGGTGCAGACACTGCTGCCTTTCTGCGCGAATAGTCGCCCTCGTGGGTTATATCTATGCTCATTGCTTTTGTACACATTCACGGTGTAAAAGCACAGACAGGAATCTGTCATCGTTTTGTTGATTTCTCCCA